GCCCGGCGGGGATTCCCCGTCCCCTCCCCCTCCAGCCACCTCCCGCGCCGCTGCTTCGCCCGAAGGGTGGGACCGAACTGCAGCGCACTCTGCACATGGCCAGGCGCCCCCATGCTCTGGTCTACCCCTCCTATAAGCTGGAGGCGACCAAGTCGGCGCGGCGGGGGTCTCGCCGTCTCAGCCCGCTTTGCCCTCCGGGCTCCTCCCATGATCGCTCGAAGAGGAGCCCCTCCAGCCACCTCCCGCGCCGCTGCTTCGCCCGAAGGGTGGGACCGAACTGCAGCGCACTCTGCACATGGCCAGGCGCCCCCATGCTCTGGTCTACCCCTCCTATAAGCTGGAGGCGACCAAGTCGGCGCGGCGGGGGTCTCGCCGTCTCAGCCCGCTTTGCCCTCCGGGCTCCTCCCATGATCGCTCGAAGAGGAGGCGGCGAGGGCGAGAAGGACCCCCGTCCCCTTCCCTCCCTCCCTCCCGCTTCTGGCTTCCTCGGGAGGGAAGGAGCCCGGCAGGAAGCGGGGAGTGGAAGGGCTGCCTGATTAAGTCGGCGCAAAGTGCTCCTGAGCATGTGCAAGCAGCTTTCCAGGAGAAAAGGTTTCCAGAGCCGGACTTCAGTAAACGGTTTCTAAGCCAGCAGAAACACTAAAGGTGGGAGTGGAAGGGTTTCCAAGAGGCGCAGGGGCGCAGAGCCGGGAACAAGCCAGCCGGGCTGCCTGCTCTGCTCCCAGCCTGGTGCGAAGGAAGGGAAAAAGCAGCAGGCACCACCCGGTTTTCTGTGGGCAGGTGTGGTCCTTTCATCCTCCTGGGGGTGGAATCTTTGACCACGAGAGGTTGCGTGGTCGTCTCTGTGGAGTGGTTCCTGCCACAGTGGGGGTGGACTAGATGCCCCTTGGGAGTCCCTCCAAAGCCATCATTCTATCACACACACACACAAACACATCAGGAATGATGAGACCCCCGTAGGGCAGCCGGCTGCAGCAGAGTGAGCTCAGCCGAGGTCAGAAAAGGGAAGACCTTCTCGTCCTCAGGGCCCATCACCAGGATTCAGGAAGGGGGCGGACAGGTTGGGGGACCAAGGCTCAGCCCAGCTCACAGCCCTCGTTCTCAAGGGAAGGAAAGAAGGAAAGAAGGAAGGGACTCTGGAGGAGGCGGAAGGTTTCCTGAAAGGAGCCCAGGCCCTGGATGGCCGCCAAAGCCACGTTGGGCGAGGAGAAGTGCCAACCACCCCCTGGCTGGCTGCTCTCCAGGGCCCTGCAGCAGGCAGAGGACAGCGGGGGGGGGGGCTGGGGAAATGCCCCTCCCAACCCCTAGAGTGTTTCTGGGAGGCAGAGAATGCCAGCGGGCTAGCCGTGGGGGTGGGGAAGGGAGCGGGACCTGTCTTTTGCAGCAGGTATGAAGGAGGAAATGCAGTGGAATTCCGGCACTTACCTGGAGGGAGGGAGAAAAGTTGCAAGGTTTGCTGAGCCGACACAGGTTGGCCTGGCGGGGCGGGGTGGTGGTGGTGGTGGTGGTGACTGCAAACCCTGGTGGTCGCAGGAGCCACCTCCTCACCCCTCCCTTGGGCTTTGACTGCTTTGACAGTGGTCCATCTGCAAGGGGAGAACTGATGAACGCCCACCACTGAGAAACAACAAAATCAGCGAGTTCAGTTTCCTGAGTTCATGGTTTTTTAAAATCCATTTTCTGAATCCCACGGGAGATTCCTGCACAAGGAAGAGGAAGCTTGCTGCTTGGCGAGGCTTCTGCTCAGGCACACCAGTTACCTTGCTGAACCGCCACCGTCAGGATCGTTCCTTGCATGGTCTTTCTAGCATTATACCTTGGCATTATACCCATGATGTTCAGGCACCAGACCATACGCCTCTGGAAGCCTGTGATGAAGACTCGGAGGGCCATAAAACACTTGAAAAATCCACCTTTTCTGCTAACTAGAGGCTGCTGCTCTTGGACCTCAATGCAAACCACCCAGAGACGTCCTGCTGTTTCTCCTCATGCTAAGGAGTTCTCAAGGTTTGATGGACAGGGATCTGCTCATCTCGCCCCACGACCGAGTGCCACAATGCAGACAGGGGTCCCCAGGACCTCCCCTACAGTCCAGGGAGAGCAAACAGGGACCAAGGACAGCATGGCCCACACTGCTGACATCACCCAAGCCTATACTTGCCTTCCAACGCAGGTGGCTTTTTAAGAGGGCAGCAGACTCCCCCCCTCCTCAGGCTATTTGGGGTCTGGGGTGTGTGTGGTGGCAGCGGCTGCCAGCTCATATTTTCTTAAATGTATTTGGCTTCCCGTGTACACAGCTCTATCAGCCTCACCTGCTCCATGGGCGGCTAAGCCCCACCTACAAGGAATGACCAAGAACTGTGCTGACCGAAGAGGGGCAAAGGAGGGGGGGGGGAATTGAGCTACACAGGACTTTTCAGAGGTCTGTTATTGACCAAGAGGGAGCAAGATATGAACCAAAAAGGTGTTGTAGACAGCGCTTCTCCGATCCTGTCACAATGGTCCTTTCTCCTACCCAAGTTGCCCCCGTTAAATGGGCTCTGAAAGGCAGCCTGAACTAGTAAGGGGCACAGCTTAGCCCCCTTGCGATCCCCATGGGAGCTGATGCAGCAGGCATACGTCTAGGGCTGTGGTGTTCGTCCTCGGCAAGGTGGCTGAGGTCTAAGAAAGGGCACTCACTGCCTATGCCACCACAAGCTCCTTCTGCAGGTGTGTGTATCTGTGTGTGTGTCAGGATAAAATAAGAATAACATACAGCTCAACAGCATATGTAAGTTTATTGCCACTCCACAATTACATTATCGAAAATGTTCATTTTCTGAGTCTTCTCTAAAATTATGGGTGTCATGATAACGCCGAGAGGTACATACAATTTAAACCCATGAATTAAACCTTTTGTTCACTGTGATGTAGAAAATTTTAACTTGAGTCTCATCATTTTACTCTCCTCGCCATTCCAACTACTTGTAAAAAAAACAACAACTGAGATATATATTTGCAGTGCTTTCCGTTGCCTGCCCTACTTAAAATTAAACCCTATCAAGTTTACTGGCATCTCCTCCCATGGACATGTGTACAGGATGGCAGCCTTTGGGTATCTCAGCAAGCACCAACTGCTAGTGCCTTTGCTAATTTAAGCTAACTTTATAATCATCTGAACGAAATTAAGGCATTTATGTTTTATTTACCATAAATATACCAAACAGTATAATTATAGAGGCAAAATTATGCAGGAAAAACAAAATCCATGTTCTTATTCAGCAGAGCAAATTTCATTTTGATAAGAAAATATTGCATATATTTAAAAATTTCCCCAAAGTGTCTATTTTTTCTGGGAGAAAACACTTTTCTTCCCAGGCTTCCATGTTCTGGGAAGTCTGACACCCCCCTGGTGACACTTAAGAGGAAACCATCTATCACCCAAATCAATCTGGTCAAATCACCCAAATCAAACTAGTACAAATTATCCCTCTGTCAAAGCTGATTAACCTCCTGAGCATTAAAGCTGACCGCCACCAAGGCACAAGAGGTGGGCACAAGTGAATCAGGTGGGAACAGCAGAGACCATTGCTTGGGGGGGGGGTAACTCCTCTGGGCTGCTCTGAAGACAAAACCAGACCAGACAGCGTATTTTGACTGAATGAGCAGAGTTGGAACAACAGCGCCCCCCCCCCGACTTTGTCTCTACCAGGACCGATGCCTGCAAACCACTTCTGCCACTCCTGTCTTTTGCCTTCGTTACTGTTATACCCACGCTGGTCTCCCCTGGCATGCCGAGCAGAACACCCCTGATCGTAAGCAGGTTCGTTCCTTTCGGCTGAGTCCACATACACTTGCTGCTGAAGGCCCCAGAAGGAACTACCCCCTGCTCCGTCCAGCACTAACTGCTGCTTTATGTTCCCAAGAAGAGCTGCTAATAATGCAACAGATCTCTCTCTGTGTGTAGGTTTCTACAAGCGCACTCTTAAAGTGTGGAGTCAACTTTTTTTGTGCTAAAGGTCAGATCCCAGGAGGGCTGGACTGTCCGTGGAGCTGCAAAGACCCACCTATACTTGCTAATCGGTCAGCCCTGGCAGAGGAACCTCTCTGGCTACAGACCACTGGCTGCTAGTTCCCAAGATTTATATAGTGATTTGATTTATATACCAATCTATTAATGCAACTCCTATTCTGGGCGGTTTACAAGTTAAACTTAAAACCTCACATAATATAACAAACAAGAGGAAATGGGGAACCACTTAGGCAGGACACTATGAGGAGCCCTACAGAGGCTAGGACGAGGCCAGCCGAGAAGAGCGCACACTCTGAGCAGGAGGATGAAAAATGCCAGAGACCAAGTGCATGAAGCCAGCAGTAACTGAGCTGCAAAACAATCAAGGGCCTTGATCGTGAGAGTCAGGAAATGTTTCTTAAGGCAGTCTAGATTTCCCCCAAGGATGGCAGCCAAAGGGAAGTGGGGAGGGGGAGAGAAGGGCAGAACAAAAAGCAGGGGTAGAAGAACCTGGCAGGCAACAAGCCAACTTGGCTACACAGGACCCCCAGTTTTTACCCTCTCTGCTCTCAATTAATGCACAGAAAATCTTTACCATGAAACAGTTACTAGAATCTTAGGAGGAGAGTCAAGTATCTTTGGGTTACGAGCATGAGAGTTGTACCATTTTCCTACCAGAAGAGCTACAAAGGGACTTACAGACTAGGAAGATATGGCTTACGAAACAAAAGGTTTGCATACAATTTCAAAGGTCGTCTGACTGTCTGTATTTTTTAAATCTCAAAAGGAGCCGGAGAAACTGGTTTCTCAAACTCCTAGTCATAACAATACAGCTGAAACGGCAATGCTTGAAAAGAAAAAGAATTGGAAAATATCCGTCTCTTGTCCAAAACATGTAGAAAATTCCACAGCTGCTTGTCAGCCATTTCCTTGCAGAAGCTAGAAACCAGAAGCGCTACACTGGGCAAGGTTAAGGTGTATTACACACAGAGGTTTGTGTATTTATTGATTTATTGATTTCCATGGCAATGTTTTTTTTAAAATAGAGTTGACGCTGACTGCAGAAGGGTGGCTGCTGCACTTTTTAAGTGGAAAAGAAACTAACGGCGAGAGATCCCCACCTCTGGCGCCCTCGCAGGCCTCCTTGGGAGCGTCTTGATATATTAAGAAGTTCCAGGATGCTCCCCGTCCAGGCCTCTCCCAGCAGTGTCCTTCGGATCGTATCCGTCTCCCGTGCCAGAGGTGAGCGTGCCTTCAAAAATACTGCCACTTCCCCAGCACTGTGTCCTTGATGGCGTCAACGTATTGGATCGGGACCCAATAGACCCAGTAGTAGGAGGCTTCTGTTGGACCCAGCTGGAAGGCCTGCAAGGGGCGGGAAGGAAGCAGGAGGCTTTGCTTTAAAACTTGTCCGTGCAAAGAGGAAAGGGCCTTATGCAACACTGGCTGGGGGCTGTGCACTTTAGGAGACTCCACGAATTCCACATCTATAACCTAAGGAATGTGGCAAACTCTGTATTCTTCTCTTTTTCTGAAAACCCAAAGCATTCCTTCTAGTACCACATTTCTGACATGACTACCGGAAGGAGGCCCCTGCCTTTGGTTTTGATGCTCACTGCAAGCAGTGGTACTTCTTTGACCAGCAACGTGTTCAGCTTCCACTGAACACAAAATCCTACCAGGAGAGTAAGGCAGGATCGCGCCGCTCATACAAGCACCATAACTGTGCAGGCAAAGGCCAGGTTTCCTCCACAGAGGTCACTGCTTGCATGCCCACAACCCTTGTGCAGACTAGACAATCCTGTGCTGCTGTGCTGGTCGGGCTTTCAGCCAAAGCTCCACAACCACACTCTCCTTGGGAAGAACTTGGGAATAGCTCTGCAGAACAGGGGAATAGCTCTGAGGTCTCAGCAAGAAGCATGACCCTGGCCTCCGTACTGTGCGCAAGGCTAAGTGCTGCTGGGGTCCCTTCCACCCCAGAAATCTAAGCCCTGTCTGCCTTCCAAATCCCCAGCTCAACAAGTACAGTGTTCCTTGAGAACCCCACAAGGCAGCCAAGGAGCTGATGATCCCTTACCATCATGTGATAATCCTCATGTCCTTCAATAGGCTCGCTCACCACATTCTTGATGGATCCCATTGGCAGTTTCTCTGTTCTTTCTACATTGAAACAGAATGGGGTAGGTTTGGGCAGGCAGCACCGCCCACCCCTTCCCTTCCCTTCCCTTCCCCCTCTCCCCCAGCCCCAGAACTCCTCCTTCTCCTTAAGCAGGAAAGGTTTTCTCAAAGCCCCACCGAATCCAAACAGTTACCCAATCTCAAGAAGAGCCACCATCACACTCCCTGACTCTTTTTAGTTACCATGATTGTCGTGATGATTATCGCACAGACCAACTCCCAGGAAAAGCCTCTTGTTTTGACAAAGTAACTTTCCACTTTGGAAACAAAATTAGCAGTGGGGGGGGGCACTGTCCTTGTTTTGTGCCACTTAGAGCCACCCTAAGGGGGTTTTCAAGGTAAGTGAGATATTTAAGGAGTGGTTTTACCAATTCCATATACTGTACACACCCTAACCCTATATTCTGGTTTCTTTTCAGATCGTATATACACACCCCTGTGAGTTTCCATGGCCAAGTGGGGATTTGAACCCAGAGCCACGCTTTGAACCTGAACCTAGTCCTGTCACTCTACCCACTACATCACACTGGGTACCCTGAAGAGAAGACACAGGCTGAATCTCCTGAGTTTCTCTGATTGCCCAGATTGTACTCTATGTGTTGCTTGTATGGCCCCCAATAGCATTCAGAACACACTTCGGAGAGGTGGGAACTTCTTTGATGGAAGGCAGCTGACCATCCTAAGAAAGGCTCGTCAGCTTGCACAGCAACAGTGACTTCTTGTCTCCTACCATAAAGAATACATCAGTTTGGTAGGTTTTCGGTGGACCCCACTTAAAGCAGCAGCCCAGAGTGCTAAACAAACAATTCACACGAGTTGCCAATACTTTGGCTCTCCCAGCATCCTACAAGTTTTTATACGCTTCCACACATTGAAAGTCAGGATGATTCACAGCTAAACAAATGACTCTGAAGCTCAGGAGTCTGTAGCATCCGAGAACAGCCGTTCTCAAGGGGACCCCAGGCACATCTGAAGGGGCACAGACTGAAAATGTGAGAAGTTTCAGAAAGACATCCATTTGTGTTGTGCCCTCGTTTGGCAGGGGGCCCTGGAACCTGAGAAGAGCTCCTAAAAGGGCCATAAGAGTGGCTGCCCTATAAACCACCCAATGTCGCATTCCTTGGCCCCCACAAGATAAGCTGTGAGACACCCCCAAAATCAAATGGTATAAGCTTTGGGCCACCCACCTTTTGTGCCAATCCAGAGCTGATCTTGTTCGAGCTTAAAGGTGAGACGCACTTTGCCGCCGGACTTGTTATACATGCCTGACAGAGGAACAGTTGGCAAACGCTCCTAAGAGATGGAGAAGAAGGGCCTTCTGTGAATGAGCCACACTGCTGCTAGCCTCCCATTTGCAAAAACCACCTTCCTCTGTGATACGTGAGTGTAAAGGACAAGAAAGCATCCTAGAAACATCCACCAGTCCTGACTGCTTGCATACTGACCTGCACACCCTTGACAGAAGGCATCACGTCATCTGGTTTTCCTTTATCCAGCACTTTCCTGTGTTGCTATAAAAAAACCAGAAAATTAGATGTGAAACACAACATTAGAAATTTCCCACTTTTCTAGTAAAAAATTCACATATCATATACATCAAGATTAACAAAAAAACACTTCCCTTGTCCTGTCGATAACTTTTACAGTTGCAGAATCCACACTCTTGCTGACACTTTGGTCCTAATGATAAACTCTTTAGTACAGCTGCAAGAATAGCAGCCCAAAATGCACGCAGGTAACAAATCAACATAACAGTAAAAAACACCAGCAAAAGGGGGGGGACCCAGTAGTTAATAGCCTAAGGACAACTTTTACAGAAGGACTGGAACAAATGATTACTGGAAAGTACAGGAATGGTCTTATCTCAGCATCTACTTTCGCTATTTAGTAACAATAGTCACTAAGATCAAGACACTCATCTGGACTAATCAAAATGTAGCAACATTTCTCTGTACAATGTTACTTATTACTGAAGTGTGGTTACAACTCTATGGATTCAGCTGAAGTTAAAAAGGATGTTAAAGTGCCTATCCAATCAGTAATACTCTAATATACTGAGAGCACACATCCTCTGTCTGCTTTTCCCATGGGCTGCAAGATATCACAACACTGATCCACATCACAGGGCTGTCAGATGAACAATCAAAAGATAAGAAGGTTCATGTTTCCCTGTCCATGCCAAGCACAAACTTTAAGAGACTTCCCTGTAACACACCTGTGACTACCCTCGGTCCGGCTGGGCACATATAGGCCACCAAATAACTAACCTTTTGTCTGCAAAGGGGCTCCTTCTTAGTCTCTTCTGATTTCACTTCCTGCTGAACAGCATCTTTTGGTGTGTTTACTGCCAAGACGTCGTTGATGGTTGAGCCAACCACCATGATTTTTGCGCCACTGATCACCTTGATTTCTCGTAAAGTTTTCTCCTCTGGTAGAAGTCCCTTGTACATGACCTTTTGCATTGCAGGTGGAAGGCCTAACCAAAGAAGGAATCAACATGGCACACTTAACACAATCATCCCTTCTGAAGGCAGGTGGCAAAAATTATCTCCCAGCAGTGAACGGAAAAGCTTACCCGTCAGCGAATGGATTTTCTGCTTCAGATCCGCCCCTGTGCTGTCAAGTGGGAACTTCAAGTCATACTTATTTTTGTTCCAAATAACTTTTAGCTCGACCAGCTCTTTCTCCATTTCAGAATCACTACCGTTACTGACAGAAGCCTGAGAATCAGGTGGGTCACCCTGAGAGTCTTCTAGTGGTTTCTCAGCAGAAAGGGAATTGTTTTTGCTCCCTTCGCTACAGTCCAGTGATGGATCCTGGGCTTCTGCATCCATGTGGGTGTCTTCTGATTCTGTGAAGGCAAACAAATGAGATGGGGAAAAATCACTCAGAACAGGGAAAGGATCAGTAAAAAAATATATATATCCCCTCACACTCTCCTTCACATTTGGGGAACACTGCTGTCCAATGTATAGCGTTGCTGCTGGGAGCAGCACAGACCCACAGCAGTAAAAGGTCGTCCAAGAGCACCCGCTGGGCCAGTAACCCCCTCCTCACACTGGGCTCTTCCTTTCGGGGGACCTGGAGGGGGGGAACTGACCCAGGCCCAACCCCTCTTGGCCCCACCACGGCTGGTCCACCCAGGAGGAGCCCACTGTGTGCCGGAGCCCAACCTGGCGACCATCCCTCTCGTTTGGGGTGGACTGGGGGGGAGGTGTCCTCCTGCTCCCGCTGGATTTGGCCCCCCCCTCCATTTGACGAAGCTGCCCAACTCCCACCCCCAAGAGTCAAGGCCTCCCCTTCCTTCCCGAAAGAGGCAAGGCCTCTCTTTCAGGCCCTCCAAGCCGTTTCGCGCCTCCTACCGCCTGAAGGCTTTTCTGGCTGGGTCTGTGTGTGTCTGTCCGTGTGCGGGGGGGTCCCCTCTGCAGGATAAGCCCCCTCCCCACAGTCAGTCCCTTCCTTCCCCTTAGCCGTGGAGGGCGCCCCCCCCACAGGGACCCCCTTTCTTCCCCTTGTAGCGTGAGCGGAGGAGGAGGGGGGGTTGGAGGAGAGACCGACTCCTCGCCTGGGGGCTGCAAGGGAACACCCAC